AATATAAAGTGTGTGTGTATGTGTGTGTGTGTGTGTGTGTACAAAGAATGCTGCATATCTTCAAGTTGCCAAGGTTGAAAAACACTGAGTTAAGCAAAACCTCTTCAAGGCTGCTTGCAGCTTTAAACTCCAAGGTCCAGATTCTCAGTCTGAGAATGTGGCAATTTTTTATAGTTCTTTATGTGTCTTTATTTCTGCTGTATCCCCAGCTCAAGGGGCCCATGAGTCTTGTTCTTGCATATTGAGTGTAGGTTTTAAACGATTCAGCATCCTGTCTGCATCTTCTGTCTTTGGACTGACTTTGTAGGGTGAACCTCAGGGCTCAAGCAGCTGGCCTAGTTTGAGGGAGTCTTTACATCTTCCTCATTCCCTGATTTTTGCAACAACCTGCTTGATAACAAAGTCTGAAGAACTCAGGAGCTCCCACATCCTTCTGCATCTTTTTGGTTGCTTCCTGACAAAACTACCTCTGAGCTACCTACATCTATTATTAGATGGCTGTAAGTACCTGCAATCAGGGGAAGCATTATACTTTTATTAATAAATAACAAAGTTCCAGGGAGATATAAATCCTGGAATGGTCTTCTGTCAACCAGCCCTTCTACTGTCCCATTCCTTGAAGGTTCCAAATAATGGCATTCCAATGTCACATAACTGGGGCCAGAAAATGGATTCAGGAAAAGGTTTGGTTTAATCAAAAATGTGTGTGCTGTTGAAAACATTGGACGGGGGGCAGGGGGGATCGTCCAGATGTGGCTTTATCAGCAAGTGACACCCTCTTAATTGGATGAAATTTAAATATAAAAGAAGAGTTTTGGAAGCAGGTGGGCATGGATTTATTTATATCTCTTAATCTTTTCATGGAAAAGATTGGTTTCGTCTTGAGCATCTAAAGTAAGATGAAGGAGGAAGAAAAATCTATGAGCTGTTGATTATTTATTTATTTATTTATTTATTTATTTATTTATTTATATGGTTTATACTGCCACCCATCTTGCTACTGGGAGTCAGGTAGCTAAAAGTAACGAAGTAAAAGATTATTTCCAAAATTGGCATTCACGATATAATTTATATAACGTATAACCATATAACTTCAGCTAGAAGTTACATCACTTAGTGTTATTCAGACACCCAACTGGCTTTCAATTAGATCGGGCATTATCAATCTAATTAACTGATTTATTATCATTAGCTCCTCTCCCCATATATTTTTTTTTACTCTCCCAAATTTTCCTAAATTCATTCAGCCTTATGAGAATCTCACATGCATTCAGTGTTTTTGCTCCACACTGCATGGGATTTCAGTGTCCTCCCAAGGTTTGGTGGTCTCTTGATATTTTTACCATTGTTTAGAAAAAATAGTGATGTACTGTATATCATGTGGGGAATCTATGGGCACTGACTATGAATGTGGGTGGGCACATTCTTATTTTAAAAGAAAGCTTTAGGGAAAGAGAATGGCTTAGAAAAAATAGTATTGACCGTGCCCCCACAATTAACCAGTCAGGGGCATCTGCGGTGCGTGCGTGTGTGTGTCAGAAAAATCAAGACAGCAGCCACAACTGTGCAATCAAAGTTGCCATCTTGACTTTTTTGACACCCTCCCCCAAACACACCCATACAGATGCCCCCAAGGGCAGTGAAAGGTTAGTCACGTGCATACAATCTGCTCGGCTTGGCTAGTTCTTTCACGGGTTAAAGTGTTTTGCAAATCTACTCAGGCTGAATCCACAAAACGGGATAGCCCAGGAGCCAAATTAAGTCAGTTATTCACATCCAGCTGCACAGCCCCCATGATGGGCTTCAGTTTTTTATTCCCCATGGTAGCTCTCCAGACAGTTCCACGCTGGCTGCAACTTTTCTCACCATAGGATTCCAGATGGAAGGCAGACCAATTTGGCTCCTTTTGAAAGGAAAAGGAGGCTCGCTTGGGACCTAATCCTTACAACAGATCTTACTCAGATCGGACTTATTCTTTGTCACTGTAGGAAATTGTCTTCATCCTCCCAAGTCCAGAAAAAAGGATGGCATTTACACTTCTGCTTAGCTATCTTTGCCTTCTGGAAGAGTAACAGGACATTTTAAAGGCAAAGGTTAGATCATGACTGGGGGGGAAGCAACTAATGTGTTTGTAGAGAGAAGCAGAGCTGCTACAACCCAAGGGGATCATCCAAAGAACCTGAATGATTCAAGACAGGGGAAAGCAGCCATCCTCAACCTGGCACCCCCAGGTATGCTGGAGTTGCAATTTCTGGAATTTTCAGGCTAGGGATGGGAGAGACATTTGCAACTAACCAGGAGGGTGCACAGATAGGAAGGCTGGTAAAAGCAAGTTCCACCAGCAATGCATAATTAAAATGTGCTGATTGACTGGTGTTGGACTAAAACACTCCCCTAGATGAACCTTTGGGTGATCCAGGATGGCTGTTCTTAAAGGTTTGCTCCTCTTTGGGCACCAGTGCTTGCTCCAAAGAGCAGTGACAGAGCAGGGCGAAACTTTCCCGGCTGCTTAGCTGTACTTGTCAAAATATATGCTTAAACATCTAAGGAGGCTTCTTCTCTGTTTTGTGGGACAGACTTCGCCGGCAGCAGAACCTCCCTCTTTTTGGGAAGATCCGTGGGTCGCGCTTTGGTCCAGATGATCCTGGTGATGGCACCAGTGACTTGGATGAGGATGAAGACTTGAAGATCCAAGTTCCATAGCAGCTGGTTCCAAGTCTGGAGATACTGGGGGTTGCATTTGAAAGGCCAGGAAGTTGTGGAGCTGAGCCTAGTGGCTCTTGGGGGAGATAGTTCCTTGTCTCACCCCAGAGCCTCTTCTTTTGCCCAACCTGAAGGATGATCAAAGAGCTCAAAGCAGATGACATCACCCCCACCCCCACCCCATGTGCTGGCCTTCATCAGAAGATTTGTGCAGAAGTTCTGAGAAACTTTCTTGAAAGTCATATCGTATCCCCTTTCTCTTCTCCCATTCAGCCCCAATCCATCAAACACCACTGATGCTAACAAGAAGAACAAAATACTATAAGCTTCATGTGCCCAAAGCAATGGGAATCATCTTCTGGCATGGAGGGAACATGCTAACCGCCCCTCTACAGTCTTAATTCCTGTCCCACTCAAAGCTTCTACTAATGCCACCTTCCTTGAAAGGTTAATTGCAATACTTCAGTCCCTGCAGATCCAAAGACTTAGGGATGAGTTCACTTGCTATGGCAGGCCGGGGAGGGAACCAAAGTGTGGGAGAGAAAAAGTGGGGTTCTCTGTTACCAAAGGTCCCCCTGAGTCCAGGCACTTTTGACATCACTTCTTCCCCAAACCAACCAGTCCAGGATGTTCTGCCACATCACTCCCTCCGTATCTCATGAGTGGAACTGATGTTGAAATGCAACGTCTGAAGAGAAGGCAATAGAAGCACCAGAAAATCTGGGAGGTAGATTTTTCCATCTCATTAGCCTACCTTTTATATATAAATATGTATATGTATATGTTTTGTATTATAACACTGAACTAGCCAAGAAATTCCTGCCTGCCTGCCTGCAGGAGGAAAGTTAACAGTGAATTCTTGATATGCTATGATTCTTCAAGCCATCTGCTTTGTGGCAGTAGACCTAAAATGGGGGTGGGGGGTGGCATATCTCTTTCTTCCCCAGCTGACACTTCTCCAGTTGTTAGTTTTTTAAGAGCCTCCAGTATTAAACCATAGTTTATGTGGCCTTCCCTAACAGGCTGCCCTCCAGGTAGAACAATTTTAATTCTCCTTCTCCTTCTCCTTCTCCTTCTCCTTCTCCTTCTCCTTCTCCTTCTCTTTTTCCTCTTCCTCTTCTTCCTCTTCTTCTCCGCCTCTGCCTCTTATTTTAAATCAACACTTGTGTCCTTAAAATCAGCTAAAAGCCACAATGGCAGGTCTCTTGGGCTTTGGCACTGCTCTTTCACAGAATCCATTCCTGAATCTTCAATAGACCTTTTTTGATGCCTCACACAGCCACACTCAGGACTATTGGGTCTCTTGGCCTTAGCATTCCAATTATTCTTTCTCTTGCATTTAGCAGATGTTCAACAGGTGGATTTCTGGAGATGGTAGGCTTTGAACTCACATCACTGGCACAAAGTGTGTCTCTTATTGTGGTGCTTGCCAAAGGAAGATGTTTGTCATTTTTCTTCAGCCACCAGAATGGCTGAATTCTGAGAGTTCTCATCCCAGTTCTGGTGGGGTTTAGCATTCTACCTGAACGTATGTCTTGTTTACACATTGCATTGTGCAATCATGGTTCCAAGCTCCAGTTTGATTGATACAGTTGGTTGGGTTCACACAAGCTAAGCCCACATTAAACCTCATTATCGTTTAATACATTGGGTGGACCCAGTCACTGTATGTGGGGTTTTTTGCCAATTGAAGGCTCTATGTAAAAGTCAAGGGCCAATCCCTCTCTCTCTGCCCTAGGAAGAAGGAAGTGGTAAGCCACTTCTGAAAAGGTTGCCAAGAAAACTGCAGGGTTTCCTCCAAGCAGTTGCCCGGAGACAGGATTCACTTGAAGGACTAAAATAATTCTTAAGCTCCTCATCCTATTTCAGCAAGTTTCATCTTCCTTTTTACCAGTGCTGAATGTACTTTATACCTGTGGCTTTAAGGTCTGGCCCCTGGAGTGGCTCCTCTGGAAAAGCCTGCCCAAAGCTGGTGCCGTCCAAAGTGGTGGGGACCGCAGCTCCCAAAAGTCCCCATAACACTTTCGGAAGGGTGCCGTTGCCTGAGAATTCTGGGGTTTGTGCTTCCAATGCATCTCAAGAGCACCAGGCTGAAGAAGGTGTTCCAGAGGCCAAGACATTGTTTTACCCACAGGACTAAATGGTGCTAACTAATCCTGTTTGACAGCTTGCAAGGTGCCTTCTTGACACAAAAAGCTTGATACAAAGTCTGGAGCTCCAACTAACCCAGTATGGCAGTTCACAAATGGGGTAGACCTGCTTGATAGCTTAATCTCAAGAGAGAGGAAGCTCTCATGTGGTAGCATTTTGCAGGATCATGGTGCAAATAAGACATTTGGTCACCAGCAAAATGTTAATATATAAACGTTTTTGATCCACTTGTCATAAATTTCAAAACACTTTGCAAACGAAGGCTGAGGAGGATTTCTGAGAGGGCCCCCTCCCAGTTCCATTCCTACCTACTTTTCCTTCTCCCATACTTCCTGCCTTCGCCAAAGGATTCCAGATCCTTTGCATTGGCAACCTCAACTCTTGAAAGCTGGAGAGCTAATAGCTAGTCATGAAATACATGGCAACACTCATGATTTGCTCTGTGTCGGTTGTGTTGGTTAGAGAGTTGGGGATCCTTGTTGCAATACAATTTAGATTTGTTTGGTACTCAACATACAGAACTTTATTTGTAGCTGATCTGATGCTCTTTCTGAAGCTGTGAACAGAAGTTGGGTAAAGCTCCAGGACATGGAGGTCTCCCATAGGTACCATTTACTTCACAGCAAAGGAATGATTCATTCAACTTTTTTCAATAAACAAGAATTTATATTAAATGTGTTGGGTGGATAGAGTTTGATCTCAGAGAGAAGGGCATGCTGTTTTATAAGGTGTTACAAAAGTTTTCTAGAACTTTGCTTCAGGCTGGCAAGGCCATATTTGCACCAAAGTCCGTGCAGGTAGACTCTCCTGCCATAACTCTGTTTGATGGGAAGTTTCCGAATCTCCTGACATTCTGTTATTATTGTCTGGTGGGATTTCCAGTGGGAAGGGAGGAGACTCCCAATGCTGCTTTTTGGCCAAAAATTCCACTTGATAGTCCCTCAATCGATATTCTGACAACATCAAATTCTTCCTTTCCCCCAGTTTTATTTATGTGTACACATGCACGCGTGTGTGCATTTAAAAGGATCTTCTCCACGAGCTGCTCCATGAATAAAACATTGGGTCTTGCAATTACCAGCTCACCAAGGCTTATTCGGCTTGACAGCTAATATGGTTCTTGGAGAGGAGCCTAAAACAATGGTTAAAAATTAAGCAATAATGGCCTATGATAACAATTTTATAGCAAACATGGGGTTTATGTTTCCACCATGGCAGCGTGATGTAACTAGTGTGAGTTCACTTCCTCCCCACACAGAGTTGCAGAGTCGTCCAAGGGTTCCCAAAAATGGTTTCCAGGGAAACTACCAGGTAGCCTTTTTGGATCTGGACCTCTCTTGCAAAGAGGGAGTGTGTTAAAAAGATGGGAAAAGGTTTGCATATGTTTGCAGGCTGGTCTCTTACATCTCCAAACTAAAGGCTTGTTCTCATCATGGCAGTATAGCCTCTTATGAAGCCACAAAGAGACCCCAAGGGACGTGTGCACACGAGTCCAGGCCACACTGATGGGGTAGGAGCTGCCTCAACTCCAACTCTACTAGGAAGTCATTATCTGCCTATTCCAATGATTTGCTTGGAATCTCCCTTCCCCATCTTCATAGCTTTCAAATGTATTGGACTACAGGTGCCATCATCCCAGGTAAGCTGGCCCGGGAGTGATAAGAACTGTACTCCAGCAGGACTCGGATGCTTTGAATAATCCTTTCCCAATTTGCAATTCTTCCCATGTTTCAAATAAGGTGATCCTCTGATGGGCTGGGCAGATACGTCTGCCACTGCAAAGGTAGCTCCAGTCAAGCCACGTTCATGCAGACCACACTGGAAAGGCATGTTTTGGGTTCAGACATGACACAGAAGTGTTCACTCTCACATCACAATCTTTAAATAGGGCCTCCCCCAATAGGCTGCCCTCCAAGTGTGCTAGACCCCAAATCCCACAAAGGGCCCTGCTACTTAGGAATTATAGGAGTTGTAATGGCTCCAGACTGGGAAGGCCAGCCTAAGGGACACCTGCTTTCCCCAACCTAGTGCCCTCCAGACTGCCAACTCTTGTCAATGCTGGCCAATATCCCAGTGGCTCATTAACTTTCTGGGATTCCTATGGTAGGAGATCATCTACTCAGTGAAGAGATTAAGTGGACATCACATTTGCAGTACTTATGTCCAGCTGGCCTAAGTGAGAGGACAAGACCGCTGCCAGGGTGGTCCTCTGGGCCTCTGAGTTGCCTATTTTCTTCATAGCTGTTCATTATAGAAATCTTGAAGCTTTAAGAACCAATTGCCTGAGGTTGTTTTTCTGTTTCCTTTTTCCTCCCCAGGTCCTTTTCTTTCTGCGCAGTATCTTGTTAGATTGCAAGTGTGGGAGCAGGACTGCTAGGCCTTTCATCTTCTGAGAACCATTTAGGCTGAAAGAACCACATATAAATGGAAAAAATAGACAAATGCAGGAAGTCTGTGTCACACCCAGCTGTTCCATGAAGGCCACTATCTGTAGGAAATGTCGCTCCTACATTTCATTTTCTCTCTGACCTCAAGGTTTATTATCCTCCCCTTCAGAAACCATAGCTAGAGATATACCACTCTTTAATGATACAACTCCATGTAACTGATGGTGGACTATAACAGCCTAGGCTGTTGTGTAATAAATTGGTTAGTTTTCAAGGTGCCTTAAGTCCCTTTGATTGCAAAGAAGACTAACCCAACTGCCCATGTGGGAAATATGATTCTTGAATTAATTCTGCAACAAATTATCAAGGAGGGACCCATGATCTAACATGTCTTACCTCTTTATTTGTCTCTCTGAATTCAAGCTGCATCTTCTCTTTTCCTCTCTCCCTGCTTCCAGTTCTTTGTCTGGATGGATTCGAAGAGTCACTGATCCTCATTTCCAAATTCCAATGCTACCTTTATTTCAGATGTTCTTCTTTCATGTATCTGTAGCAGACAACAATAAATCACCTGGACCCTAGAAGCATTCCTCATTCACAATTCCCATTTGGGAGAAAATGGAGGATTCAGAGCTGCTAATCTGTGTAACATTGTGCAGCAATTCCAAAGTGTGCCAATGTCAAAAGTATTCAGGATCTTAAATTTTATGAGAGAAATGCCTGTTCCCTGTAGTGTACACTGCACATTCATTTATTTTTAAAAACAGTCGAGTCTTGTGGCACCTTAAGGATTAATAAATGTATTATCTCGTAGGCTTTATGCATCACAGTGGACTGTAAGTATGAGAAATAAGATAAGTTTAGAGGAAGGCAAATATTGTTTAGTAAGTTTAAGAGGCCTAGTGGAGCAATTCTTAGAATTTGAATATGACAACTGAAAGATATAATTTATTCAAAAGGAACATAAACAATAGAAAGAAAGGAAAGGATCCATTTCCTGCTAAAAAGATCCTCATTTGCATAGAAATCCAAGGGAATGAAGTTGGTGACAGGTTGAGAACATCTACATCTACATGAAACCACCTGGAAGTAAGAATAAAAGTGGCTCCCCCACTGATGGCCAATATTACCTATACCCACAAGAAGATATGGATGATACTTTCAGAAAGAAGCTGCAGATCATTTAAAGCATAAAGTCACAGTCATGAGAGACTTGAATTATTCCAATCGCTGTTGGGAGACAATTGTGCAATGTATGGTCCATCCAGGAAATTCCTGAGTTATCTTGCTAACAACTTCCTCCTTCAGAAAGGGGAGGAAAGAACCAGAGAATCAACTAGCCTTTTCTTTTTCCAAGAAGGAAGAATATTAGTAGACAAAATGCAAATTGTAGGAATTTAGGGGAAAACTGGCCATATAAGCCTAGGATAATATTGAGGGAAGCTACAGTTGAATGTAGTCAACTTGGACTTCCTTGAATCTCAAGAAAGTAGATTTGTATAAGCTAAGAAAAAGGAAAAGTGAAATTCCATGGCTGGGGTGGTAAAGAGAACCAGAACTCAAGATGGGTAGAAGTTCCTAAAAGGAAGATGCTACTACCATAATCACAAAAAATTGCAAAAAAAAAAAGGAAGGCAGTAGAAGAAGCCAGTGTGGCTGCATAAATAAACCAAGGAGATCAGAAAAGAACACAGCATAGGAAGTGGAAAAACAAGGATGTTACCAAGGATGTAACCTAGGCATCTGGTATGTGATGAAAATACAATAAAACATGCGTTATGACCTCAAAACACAAGCCCAGCCTTTCGGGTCTGAGTCCCAACAACTGACACAAGTAGAGGAATCATGGGTTAGATCCCGACGTCAAAATGCCCTTTTGTCACTTCCCCCTTCCCTCCCCGATGGATCCCAGGGCCAAGGAGGAGGATGTACAGTACAGATAAGTGGAATTTATAGGACCGATGTCAGAAAAACTAAAGCTGGAACGAGCTGAGGTTTGGTGAAGAATGCCAGGCATTAAAAAGGGGGCTTCTTACGTTCCAAATTAAAGGAAGGGAAAAGCAACTGTGTGTCAAAATGATAGCAGGCAAAAAGAAAAGGAGGAATCTAATCCACTCTTAAGGAAAGGCTACATGTTTCACTGGGTGACTGAGGAACTGGTGAAAAGGCAGTTTGATTGAAATATAACCTGGGAACATAGCCTCCAGTCCTCTGTTCAGGATCAAATCAACTGCATCTGAAGGAACTTGTTGATGGTCTGGCTCTGTCTGTTATCTCAGAGAAAGGCTGGAGAATGGAGGAAGCATCCGATCCACGAAGCAGCATAAAGTCATCTCCAACTTCAAAGGGGAAGGAAATCCAAGGGAACTGCAGACCAGCCTGATACCCAGAAAGTTTGACAGCAGATCATAAATTGATTAGCCTGTAAACCCAGCAGCGGTGTGGAGGGAGGATGGGACTGGGAGTCAAAAACATCAAGACGGCCAAGCAACTACATGATTGAATTCCCTGCCCCTTTTTTGCAGACATCACCCTCACCATGCATGTGAAAAGGGGGGGGGGGCTTTAATTGTGTGGCCAGGCTGCCATCTTGATTATTTTTATTCCCCTCCCTTCTGCAATTCCCTCTGGGTAAGCACCTTGAAAACAAAGCAATGATTCCTAGACGCCAGCAAGAACTTGTCACAAATGTCATAGCCAGAACTGTTTTATTTATTGATCAGGTAACTTCCTTAGCCTAAGCACTTGTCTCTGGTTGCACCTCTCCACGGGGCAAACATGACCTGAAAGATCTTTTTTTCTCCCATGTTCCCATGGCATTACCTTCACCTCCTCCCTAGTCCATGAGTGAGACACCCTAAGTCATCCTTAGCTGGACCAATACAAAGTAGAGGGAGGAGGGTGTGGATTTATTTTCCAGAGCATCTGAGAGTAAGACAGGAACCACTGGGTGGGAGCTTAACAGAAGGAGATCCAAACTGGAAATAGGGAGGAATTTCCTGACTGTGAGAGCCATTGAGCAGTGGGACAGCCTGCCTCCTGATATTATGGGTGTTCCATCACGGGAGGTTTTCAAGAGAAGATGGACAGCCATTTATCCAGGATGGTCTGACAGTTCCTGCATTGGGCAGGGAGTTGGACCAGAAGTCCTGAAAGATCCCTTTCAAGCTTAGAATTCTGTGATTTCTCCCTTTCTTCTAACGTGGTCCTACCTAAAACTCTCTTCTGTTTTGTTCCTTTGGAGGGAAATCAGGGGGCTGCAGTCAACTTCAAACAGGAGTAACAGAGACAGGATAGGGATCACAAGAGAACAGCAGATTTCATGCTGGTATAGTTTTATCTGATTTAAGAATAATTAATTAGCACTTCAGTCACCAGCAAGGAAAGACCCAACATGTTACAATCACCAACAGTCAAACCAAGTAGCTAACAAATGTCCTTAGCAGAACGTTGTGGACAGAATAGACCTTGATTTAACAAATCATTTGACAAAGTAGCTTATGATTAGTCTGACTAGCAGACTAGCTTCATATGAGATGGCTGGCGTGGCTGTTAGGTGGATTCATAACTGGCTTGAAAATTGTTCTCCCAGAATGTTCGCCGGAAGAGTCTCATCCAATTGCAGAGAGCCTCCAACAGGGAGCCTCAGATATTCGTTCTGGGCTCATTATATTTCAACATTTTGACCTAAGTCCTATATTAAGAGGTAGAAAGAATGCTTATCAAATCTGCAGATGACAAAATTGGTAAGATAGCTAATATTCTTAAAGGGAAAAATAATACTCTAATCTTTAAAAGTTAGAGAAATGGGTTGAAAATAAGATAGTGAAATCTAACAGAGAAAAAGATACATTATTTTAGGAAAAATAAATTAAATGTACAGGATCAGGAGTCTGGCTCACTAATAATATGTCTAAAAAGGATGTTGAAATTGTAACTGATCACAAACTGCTATGAGTCAAGACTATGATCTGTAAAAGGGAATTGCAGTTTTAGGCTCATCAAGGAAAGCAGGGTCAGACCTTGTTAGTATTTGGATGGGAGAAGATCACCAAGGAATTCCAGGGCTGTAGGTTGGACCAGGAAGTTGTGGGCGGGGGGGAGGTCCCAGAAAAAGGCATTGGCCAACAAATGTAATCATGTTGCCAAGAAATTACATGGATGCCAGGAGTCCAGCTCAATTTGAGGGCATCTCTATGTTTATTTTTACAAAGTCTTTTTGGTTAGGGAAGGGAAGGGAAGGGAAGGGAAGGGAAGGGAAGGGAAGGGAAGGGAAGGGAGACAAACTATTTGTGTAAAAGTTATGGAGGAAGAACAAAAGATGGTTTCCCTCAATGCTTTGAATTATTTGGGGGTGAGATATAAAGGCTTGGTTGGTAGAAACAATGATGAGGTTGAGAGATGGAGCTTTTAGAAGTGCTTAATTGCAACCTGCTAGCATTCTCCACTCAAACTCTTTTCCCTTCTTGGCATGAGAGCTCTTCTCATTCAGAAGCCATGAGAAAATTATGAAGCGGAACTGCAGTTGGGCATGGAAAATCAAGCTGGACTGATGCACTGAAAGGAACTCGGCGATGCAAGAGTATTAAAAATTGATATTCCAGAGAGATAATTCTGCTTGCTCTACTTTTTAATTGATTGCCTAAAAGACAAGGGCCTGTCCTAGTTGTAGTTGGTTGTTGTTATTGTTGTTTAAATTTGTAGCAAACATTAATATTTCTGCAGCCAAGTAAATCAAGCCCAGAGTGGAAGGAATGTGCTCACCAATCAGCCATGCTCATACAGCAGATTTGGAGGACAGTTCTCATGAAGCAAGCTGATTTTTGGACAGACAGAAATATTTGCAATGGAAGCATTTCTGCAAAGACCTCTCAGCTGTGCAACCAAACAGACTAAGCCACCCCAAAATTAGCCGAGATTGAAGCTAACCAGCAAAACATAGCATGCTGTGCAAATGCAGCCACAGTGACTTCAACCTGGCTGAGGGTGTTGTGAGGTCTCAGCCTATGGATCAGATAAACAGATCGCTGTTAGGCCCCAAGATCATGATACTAGTGTTTTGTGAAAAGGTACCTGGAAGGAACCAGTTATGGAGAACACCAAGTGTTAGAGAGCAACCATTTTGAGATTGATCATTCTGTAAGTGTTAAGTTTGTTTCCAAGAGCCAACATTGCACCCATGGAAATTGGACATAATCAAGCCTCCATAGACACAGTTATGTTTCTTTACCCATGAATAGAACCTCAGTTCTATAGGGACAGGAGATGCAGAGATCCTGACCCTTCTGTATACATGGCTCAAGACACAGAGCTGGCCTGCCTGCCAGTTTAAGATAGATTGCTTTAGAATTCAACCCAAGAATCCCCAGCTGATGGACAAACTGGCAGGGGATTCTGGGAAGCATAGTCCAATACATCTGGAAGGCAGCTGGTTTGCAAAAGATGTTCAGTCTAAAGTTTATGAGACCAAACCATGGTCATCTCCCACCCAGTGACTTTGCTGAGGATGATGGGGCATTGTACTCCAACATACCATGTTAGGTACGTGTAGATGATAGAACATAGCGTAAGCTTTATTATAGTCTTGAATTGTAAACTTGAACTGTGGCACATAAAAGAAGAATGTTTTCTACTTTGTAGCCTTTTGTCTGGGTTCAGAATCTAAGGAGGGTTGGCCTAGTTAAGACTTGGATAGACCACTGGAAATCCCAAGGCTGAAGGCTAGACTGATGAACTGAAAAAAGGGGGCATCGCTACCATAGCGTTGCCAAGAAAACGCACCAGGATGGCCCCATGGGGTCACCAGCAGTTGAGCTTGACTCAAGGACATCCTTACTTCTGTCTCTCTTCTTCCTGCTGTGAAGAAAAGGGGGGTCAGAAACCAGATCACTGGGGGCACGGCTCTGTGTGTCCACTTGTTCTTATCTTGGATGGGAAGACCATTGATTCAGAGCAGGTTCATTCCTGGTTAGGAGCGGGAGTATGGCCGGGTTGCCTAAGAGAATGGTACCTTTCCCCACTTGGCACCTAGAAACCAAGTGGACTAAAATTGCCGTTTTCCCTCCCACCAGCAGGAGAGTCAAGTGTCCCCCACACACATGCACAATGGCCAGCAGGACAGATTATCTGCTGCAGACAGATCTGCCCTCTAAAGCAAGAGAAACAGGTAGCCGAAGCACTTAGATATTTCTTTTCCTCGTTTCAAAGAGAACAATGAAATTTGATCAGAAGTGTGGGAAACGAAAAAGAAAGAGGGCTTCATTTTGTAACACTGTTCATGGTAGTTATTTCTAAATCTTACTTTCGTCAAAATCTATTTTTCAATCATCCCCAAAGAAGGATGAGAGTAGAGTTTAAAACAACTCTCAAAAACAGGAGTACAAAGAGGGCAAAAATACCATTTTAAAAGCCTCAAAGCAGAAAGGCAAGTTAAAAGCAATACAAAAGATACAGTGATCAAGACAATAAAACCATATAAAATTACTGCTTTCCATGTAGTCTTCATGACATGAGAATCTGCAAGGACTTGAGAAAAGACTCATCAGGCTGGTTGGATAAAGATGTCTTTGGCTGGTGCCAGAAACTTTTAAGATTCAATAGCAAAAATAGGTGAAATGAGAAAGGGAGGTCATCATTCTGTAATTTGTGCTCCTGTCCCAGCCACCTCTCTGCTGCCGTGCTGTGCAGAACATTTTTGGGAAAAAGTCAAAGGACATCTTAATGGAATGAGGTGACGGGATGGCTGTGTAAAGGAGAAGGAACTCCTATCCTGATCTTAATGACTTTCAATGCCTTGATTTTGGCTTGGTTCTGCAGCTCTTTCTTCACAGGTAGCTTCCAAATTGTAACAACCGCAGCTAGCAACCACCATATTCTGCCTGGCCCCCTTCTCAAGGCAATCCTTGGCATGAAGCACCTTTGCAAACATCAGTCACGAGGGCTTGGATCATGGTGGCTAGACTACTCTGGCCCAGGTACCTTGCTGGTAAAATGCACTGCTGGCTACAAGTTCAAGCCCAATTACTGTATATACAGTAGTTCAGCCTGCAGCAGGTGGCAGCACCCATCAACCTTGGTTGATCTCAGAAAGCCAAACTGATCAAGACTCTTTAGGTCCTGGACAGGCGACCACCAAGGAGGCAATAGCAAGCCACTTCCATTGCTGTCATGAAGACTACATGGATGCCTTCACAACGTCACCAGGAATCAAACTTGGCTTAAGACCTGGCTTGACCTTTTATATAATCTGCCCAATAACTGAAATGTCATGAAGCGATGGGCAAATGATGACCCCCTGACTCAAAAGAATTCCGCCCCCTACTGTGGTAATTCTGGTATTGCAACATGAAGTGGCCTGGTATTCCAGTGGGGAACCACATTCCCTGACAGCCGTGGAGGTCATTTATTTATTGAATTAATTCAAAGTGTACAACACCCAGCTCTCCGCAACTCTTCAAAGAACGTTTTCTTATGTTCACAAGAAAACATAAAATTTTTAAACAATAGAAGAAGCAAGGATAGCATAACCAGGCAGCAAGGAAAAACACCCCCCCCCCCGAAAGAG